CAGTACCTTTGTGGAGTGACCCGGGAATGAGTGGTCAGCTTCAGGACATCCACGGGCTACTTGAACACCACAGAGAAAATTGGGGGGTCATTACGGCCCTGAGAAGAGCCCTCGAGGCTTCTGGGGAATGGAATGGATTGAGGGTATTGTGTGGCAAATTATTGAAGTCTATCGCAATAGACAATGTCAAACCGGAAGATTCTGTCATCGCAGATCTCTTTCTGAGAGTTATTGATCTGTGTCGCGCACGGACAACAAACGTTCAGTTCTTCACACACACAAACACACACAAAAAATCTGGTTTGTGGGAATATCCGAGCTTTAAAAAAGAACAACTTGAGCCTTGAGGTTTGTTTTGACATTATTTTTAGTGACAGTAAATCAAAGACAGTAGCATACTGTTAAATATAAGCTATGGTGATGGTTTACTTTTAAGAACATCCAAACAAAACTGCAGAACACGTCCTTCATCTGGAGTCCCAACATCATCATAATGACCTCATTACCATTTGATGATTTTAACACAGTTGTCATGGAAACCATCTCACTGTTGCAGTTTTAAAGTGACAATAATCATGGTGCTTGGTGCCAATATTATGGCAGGTCAGATTGGTAAAATCATGGTATTAGAAGTATTACAATAATGTTCCATTCAGAAGTGTGGGCTTGTTAAGATGTTTAAAACATTTTTTGAAAGAAGTCTATTCTGCTCACCAAGCCAGCATTTATTTGATCAAAGCATGAATATTGTGAAATATTATAATTTAAAATAACTGCTTTCTATTGTAATATATTGCAAAAAAAAGAAAAATCCTGATACAAAGCTTAATTTTCAGCATCATTACGCCAGTCTTCAGTGTCACATGATCCTTTAATGCATTTTTTTTCAAATTAAAAGAAAAAATCTTAACAACCCACAAACTTGCAAGCTAGATATGATTTTTTAAGTATCTAGATTAAATCATATAGTGGCAAGATTGCACTGAGAATGCAATCGTGCCTCAAGATTAAACTCATCTAACCTTGAGAAGATAAAAACTTAAAGACCCAAAGGACTTCTAGTCTTTGCTTTGAGTTTGTCACAGGCTTGAATCATGATTTGCTAAAAGCTATTTCTTGCCATAAGCAAGCCTTTTATGTATGCTTTAAAAGGTATATTTTTATTCTATAAAGCATTTTATTGGACAAAAACATTCTTACTTCAGGAAGATTTCAAATGCATAAAAGTTCATTTTCTCAGTGTTTAGGAGTACATTAGCAAATAAATGATGTCAAAGCTGATATACATTAACAAAAGGTCCAATTTTGAGATCATGGGGTTTTTAAGTGTGCGAGAACCTAAGTGTTGAGTCTCCTGTGATTGAAAAAGGGCTCCACCGTTGAGTGGTGAAGATGTTTCAGCCTTCAGATGGAGAAGCTTCATCTGCCTGGATGTTCTAGGAGCACTCAGCGAAGTACTTGGAAGGAAGGACAGAGCGACACTCCTTCACCGGCAGCATTGCCAGCCTGAAGCACATAAATGCACATCTACTATGGAGCTCAGAGCTGGAGATCAATCACAGGAACAATCACTGTGCTCATACTCACATCTTAGCGAGGAACTTCTTCTTGGGACTCAAGCCACTGCTGGAAACAAGATATTTGAGATAAGTGATCATATGTGCATTTGAACCCTTGCGACTGCATGAGTGAACTTACAACTTGTTGCTGCTTCCCGCCAAAATCTTCAAGCAGGCGATGTCATCAGAGGTGTCATCATCAACGAGAGCTTTCAAGATAAAATAAAGACATGATGACATAAAAAATAGCTTGAATATATCATGGAGTATTTGTCCTCCACTCACCGCTGCACTCAAGACCACAAAGGTTCAGCGATGCGCGCGATCCGGGATCACAGGCCTCGCGGTCGCTCAGCTGGAAGATTCCCAGCAGGTCCCAGGCGATGACATCATCACGCCCCTCTTCCTCCGAGCTGTCTCCGGAGCTGTCCTCCTCGGACATCGCCTCTGGACCGCTTCCAGACGAGTCTGAGGGGATCTTTTCTGGGAAGAGACCATGGCGCCATGTCCAGAGATGCTCCTTTGCTCCTAGTATCTTAACGGTTTTGCCCTCAGGGACAGATCTTCCCCGTCTTCCCTTGGGAGGACTTTGTGGTTTAACAGGGATTATGTGTTCCTCTTCCAGTTTCTCATCATCTTCGTCCTTTGCTGGTGGTTCTTCCTCCTTTGGTTTGGGGGGAATTTGGAATGCAGGTCTAATCTCATCTTGGATGCTGGTGACGAGGCTGGTGTTGAAGCCGGAAGTGTTTTCTACATTACAAACAACTAAAAGAAATAAAATGAATAATTTGCAGATGTTTGGTGATGTAAAATATGAATGGGATTTGAGAGCTACAGCAGACAAATTTGGGTGTTTTCCTCACACAAAGATGTTACGACTACTTTAATCATTTTCATCCCGATTTCACAGGAAAACGTGTGAAACTTGAATTGTAAGAAAACATAATTTTATTAATTTTTTTAAAGGAAAACATGAAGGTCCATCCCTAAACCTAACTATCAGTGGGGGTTACGAAAATGTAGCTACAAACGAGATTGTTGAAATTCATAT